AAGAACATCAAAGTGAAAAAAGTCGAGAAGGGGGGGGGGTGAACAGAAGATTGCTCAAAGAAGTAAAGGAGACAGACACAAAGGTAGAGTGAAAAAGGTGAGGTAAGTACTGTGAAAGGTGTCGAATATGACATATAGTGGGGTGATGGTAGTTTGGAGTCAGAAGTCAACTGCCAGTTAATAGACTTTTTTACCGTATGAGTATACGTTGCCCAGGGTGCACCACGTGGAAGTAAGTCTATCGCACACCCCTCATTTATTAACATCAAAAAACAGGATTTATGATAACTTCCATTAGTCCTTTAGTTGACTTCGGGCTTCACAGAGGAGAGGTAAATCGAAGTCGCAAATAGTGGCGAGGGGAGTGGGGGGAACAGATGAGTGATGCACAGATGTAAAAGAGCCAACAGACAGACACATAGGCAGAGAAATGGTAAGGTGAGTACTATGGAAGTGATCAAATATGACATGCAGTGGGGTCATGGCAGTTTGAAATCATACACCAACTGCAGGTGAATGGACTTTTTGCCCTATGAGTATACGTTGCCAAGGTTGCATCATGTGGAGGTAAGTCTATCACACACCCTAAGGGAAACGAATATAAATATCACCGCATATGGGATCCAAGAACTCAAATTATTTTCGCGTATATCTATGCGGTAAACGCTCAGTGTGCATATTATCCTCATCTGCACTCCAGACCTCAACTATGGAAATCATATCACGAAAAAACTACAACGCTGTTGGTCCCTCATTATCCTGATTGAGACAGCTCTCTCGCAGTATTTGATCTTTATGGTATCATACCACCCACGTTCGCCCTGATCGCAAATCTTACTTTTTTCTCTTTATCAGCCTTTGTAGTCCAAATAGGGCATTGTCTTAGTCTACTTAAGATAAAATGAGTGGGAAAAGGGCGCAGAATAGGAATTCGAACCACGAGGGAGGTGGTGGGGGAGGGGGGGGTTTTCGAGAAAGAGTGCGTCTCAGGTTTTAACTACTCATCGGCCTTCCTGTTTTGCTGTTGTTTTCTGGAAGTTTTCAAAGTTTCCTGCTGAGCTCACTTCCAGCCCCTCAGCAGCAACCAATTCACTGGAAAAAGGGGAAAAAAGACCTAGATCTTGATCGAAGCTTGTTTAATCTCAGGTTCCTGTGTGCATTTTTACTAAGCGCTTAGTTGTGGCGTTGGTGTGTTTTTATCAGTAGGTTACTCTCCTTTACTCCCACCTCATTGCCAGGGCGACAAATCACCATTTCTCTCTACGGAAAAAAACGTGTAATTGAGTGCACTGCCATTGCTGTTGACGAATTGATTTTCTCCTTAATCAGCTGAAAAGTCATATGATCTCATTCTCTTCTTACCATGTGAAGGCCATTTTAATTAATGAGCAAAAAGGCGGCTACCAGTCACAAGAGTGCTTTTAATCTGAGTTTCTTACTTGAGATCTAAAATATATTCGGACAAATGGTTGAGGGGGGGGGTGGGGGGGGGGGAGGAGGGGAGGGGAGGAATGGAATATTAAAATTGTATTACAACTTGAAAATAGCTATTTTCTTGAGCTGGTGACTATGTATGTTGTTGCCTTCGTAGACAATAAACATGAAAACAAGCTGTGGCTATGCTACGTTGCAATTATGGAGTTAGTGAAGTGACCCAAACATTTTCAAGCACAAATTGGAAATATTAGGGCTTTTTATTGGATCGAAATGTCAGCATTTTAAAGGACAAATCTCAAAATTGCGTAACCAAGAAATGGAGTACATCAAAATGTCAGGACTTTCCCAGACTTTTTCAACAATTTCTCTCAGCTAATTTTTTCTATTTCAAAATACACGTGTTAAATCTTCATAAAGTGGGTAGGAGTTACAGAAATTGGGAAAAAATAGTTTTTTTCGGAAATCATAGCTATGGTCTGGCAATGAAAATGGACACTGACGCATTTATTTTCTCTCTTCATTTTAATCCCAAAAAGTGAAGCCGATTTTGTGGTTAAGCTGAAACTGCTGTGCTTTGTGTTTTAGCGTAATTGCACAACCAAAGCAATCAATATCTACGAAATCTTCGTTCGACTTGCTCCTAGGTGGATGGTACCTCCAGACCACATCAATCACCTCTAATCAAGTAAACGAGTTGATAAGCCAACTGGAACAGAACGTATCTGAAAGCCTTCAGAATCCCTTCGTAGCGGATGACTACGTGTCACAGTTGGAGGATTTTATTAATCAAATTCCTTCAACATTACCTCCCAATGCGCAAGCAATAAGTCTTCGAGAGACACTACTCATTGTCTCCGACATAATTCACCGTGGAAATGCCGCAGTTCAGCTCCTAGAACGTCTCGCTTTTCTAATGAATCTTCATTCTACCCAACGGTTACAGGAATTGCGGTATGCTTATCCAAGAGCTGTTGAGAGCTTGTCGTCGTGCTTTCAAGCACTTGAGGGCGTTCTTCGAGAGTTTCTGGAATGGCGAAATACATTGCTTCTCGGTTCAGATCTCGCTGAGGCTGACATATCGGCTCAGACTCTGATTGAATCGATAAACTTTGCTATGGATGTGCTAACTCAGGAAGTCGCTCACACTGGAATCCTTCGATTCACAAACGCGCCTGATTTTCTGTCTGCAACTCTCGCCTGGTTATCTAGTCTCCCTACATATCTCCTCAGTTTTCCAGACGCCTTTTCTGAATCACAGCTTGAAAACTCGACGGTGTTTACACAAACAGACTCACTCCTGCTTCAAGTCCTTGACCTTGAATGGCGTATGGACGATTCAAGCATTCAGACCCGTAATGATTTGTACAAAGAGTTAGGCGATCAGTTCAAACTTCAGTCAAATTGGATGTCCGAAATTGAGGAATTGAAGGATTCCGTCGATATCAAGAAAAGAAGAGTAGGTCGAAGAATTAATTACATCCCAGTAATCTCATGCAAATGCAACGTTTGAATGCTCATTCTCTTAATTTAGACCTTTCTCAACGTGCAAGAGGGCATCGAACGCTCCGCTCGAAGTCGAAATTCCAATTACTACCATGTGCTGGCCGGTTCCAGGGAAATGAATAAAGTGGTACAAGGCTTTTCGATAGTGGATTTCATCGTTTCTAGAGCCGAAGCATTCCAGGACATTGATATTCCGAAAATGGATGATGAAAACAGCAAAATCTTCACTCCAAATGTAGCTTAATTTAATTATTGAAATCATGAACAATTTTTTTGTAGGAGTTCGAAGATAAATTTTCGAAATTGAGGGTAGACTCATTCTTTGAGCAGATGAGATTTATTTCCGATGAATGCAAACAATGTGGCCAAAATAAAGATTTGGTTCAAAACGGTTTACATACTGCAGTAAGATAGTATTAAAACTGAAATATTTCCTTAAATGCATGGCATTCTCTGAAAAATTTGTTTGCATGTTGATCTAGGAGTGCTTTAGGAGGGCGGAAGTTCTGTCTAATGTCGGCAGAAAATGGTTTTCTGCTCTTAAAAGGCCTTCGGGTATAACAAATCGTATTCTATGCTGCTTTTGGCCAGAAGCAATTAAACGGATGATATCGATCGATCAGTGTCAGATAGAAACGAGATCGTACACCGATTGGTGTAAGAACGCTATTGCCCTACGAAATGTTGTCGCGGAATCACTTGTTCCTGACCATATTGACCCAAGTGGATTTCAGCACAATAGAATTTTGATTGAAAACTCCTTCAAGAATTTCCGTAGGAGTATTAAAGATACGGAGACCATTATCAACGACATCTCCATTGATTTTAAGCCGAATTATGAGGATATCTATCAGGCTTGCTCAAGACTGCGCGACACAGCGTGAGATTATCCTAAAAAGTTAACAATTTTAACACTAGCTTTCAAAACGATATGAAAAATTATCTATTCTACTTTAGTGAGAGCTATTCAACACAACTTCATGAACATATAAAGAATTTGACTCTCTATTCCTTGCCAAAGGCTAAAAAAGACCTGCAGCACCTTGAGGATAATTTGAATGACCTTGTCAATAACAGAACTGCCCAACTTTCACTTGAGGTTCGTTTTTCTTGTGCTTTTAAATAAATTACTACTTATACTCGGATAGTAACACTAATTTACACGTAATCAGGACTGCAGTAGTCAAGTTGTGCAGTTGGAGCGCAATCTTCAAGCTCTTCGGCACATGTCTCGAATTCTATTCACTTGCCTTGCGGCTAATCCAAAATCAGTTTTATCTACAAAACCCACGGAACAACTGGAAGTCAATGAATTGTATAAACGTGCTGTAAAAATTGTGCGTGATTATGAAGCTAGTGAAAGTGGATATCAAATTGTTGAAGCCTGGAAGAAGCTCCAAGAAATTGCTGATAAACTGGGACGCTGTCAGGCTGGGTTCGTCTTCTTCATTAGTCAAATACCCTTCAAATTTTTTTGCTTTTATCTCTTCAAATTTTGCTTATTTTAGTCTCCCTATTGAGGAAGTCGCTGCATCAGTAAGTCTGGCAACAGTTGATAAAGCTACTCTACTTAATCGTTTCAGTAATAATGCCTGATTAACTTTAGGCTGAAATGGAGATTAGCCAATCACCAACGTTTGAATGTCACTTGGAAGGATATCCCAGTGCATCTATGGCTCGAAAACGTAGCTGGACACTACTAGAGATTCTTGGATCTCACGAGTGTCTATATCCAGGTTGCCGTGAAAAGAAAAGAGATAGACATAGTGCGGACGATGAGGTAAATACGGCATAGGAATGACCTAATTACGTTTATTTTAGTCTCTATATTAACAGTATACTTCCATTTCTTTTAGGGTGACACAATCTTGCACGATCTTCACATATTCTACACTTTCCTCTGCTCCGATTACAACAGATACGCCAATCGAAGTTCTTGTGATATTTTAACGCCTGACTCGAATGAAGCAGCCACTAGTGAAATTGTTCTGATGGAAGTTAGAGAAAAATGGCATCGTGATAAAGATCTCTTGAATGAGTTTAACAATCTGCAAAGACGAGTTGGACTTAGTTCTGGAGTAGATTCAGACATTGAATCCACATTCAATATGATTGAAAGCCTCTGGGGAAGACCAGTGACTCCTAAATTCGTTATAGAATCTTCCAGGAAACTGGCTACGGTTTCCTCGTGGTTGTGTGAGGTCGAACAGCAAATGGAACTTGTTATTCTCCCTAGACTTCAAGCTGCTTGGAAGACACCGTCAAAAGCTGACCCTCTTTCAGTTGTTGAAAAATGTGTCTACATGATGAACGAGATTGCTGAAGATCTAGACCGTCTTCAACGAAGAGAAATGATAGCAGCGAAGGAACTTCAGAACATTCACAATTCTCTGAGAGTTGGGTGGTTCAGTGTTCGAGAATACCTTCTTATTAAATGCAACAGACTTACCACAGATTCTGCCAGATATTTCCCTTTGGTCGATGATTTTGTTAACCATTCTGTTGGATTCAAGGACTACAGTCTATTGAACATTTACAATCGTCTTTGTGGCCAGTTCCTGTTGAAAGGTCCTCGACAAAGAAGGTCGAGTCACAGTCAGCCGGATGGAAGAAAGTTTTGCACAACGAAAATGTCTATTCGGTCCTTATACCTTCCATCTTGGTTTACGGAGAGATGTAGGCTGGTAAATGACCGTCCACCTGTTGCATTGACAATCCACTCCCTTCCCGACATTTCTACAGAAGCTTATCCGACACCTGAACCTACCTTCCATAGCCCTCGGTGTGTGTCAGTGAATTCCCGAAGGTGGATGTCACTCCCCGAAATCCGACCAGGTCCTCAAATTGTCCATCGAAAGAGAGTTGAGAACAGCTTTTCAGTGGTTGATGACGATGCGGAGACCATAATTTCACCCTTCAGCGGGCTCTGTGACAGCCAAATGAGCACTTCTGGTGTATCCTTTATACCACAGGCGGATGAAGAAAAGTGTGATGCTAGGCACACAATGGACAAGGAATGCAATGTACCAACCTCACCGGCTTCTATACGAAAATCCGAATTCAATGACCCACTGGTTACCCCGAAGGTTGGTCTCATGGAGCAATTGCCAAAAATAAATTTTAATGTATACCTCTATTTGGGGTTTCCTTTTTTAGGAATTATCGCCAACAAGAACGCGAAACTACCTCACAACTCACGAACCTATTTCGTCATATGTGAGTAATTTGCTGTCTGAAATGCGTCGGAAATTCCCGCGCATTCATTAGTGTCAGATATCGATAATATTTTTTGGAATTCTCCATTTAAAAACCAGAATTTGAGTATATAATATTTAAGGCGTCTTATTGAACCTTTTTAAATTCATTGCATCATTATTTCATTTATATTAGGCGTATATTGAGGTTAAAATGTAAGTGGCCACTGGGAAAGTCCTTTTGAATATACCCATCAACAATTGAATAAATGACATCGATGAATTTCATTCACGACTGACAGCTCATGCCTATAATAGGGAATTACGAGGTAGCGAATAAGGCAGATCCAAATTCTGGATCTGCATTTCAAATTATGCACCTCAAGACGTTTTAGGTGTGAATTCGCTGGTAATCCCTTATCATAAAGTAACAAGAATGCGACTTTCAAACAGAAGTAGGCGTAGTAGAGTATTTGAACTGACTAGAATGCTCAGAATTCGAATATTCGCGTCGATTCTTTTAGACAGTCGAGTAAAACGCATCAACTCAGACGGAATCAAAGGATTTATTAAGATCCTCATTTTTTCCTTTAGTAGATAAAATGTACAACTTCGATTGATATTTTCTATTAAGTACATCAGGTTTTATATCAGGACTCACACGATTACCTTGATTAGCGTACTTTTTTTGTAAAAATATAATCTAGAAATCTCGAGACAAGTCACCAATCACGTGGTGTACTATCTACCTTCCAAACGATGAAGAGACCGAATCGATGGTTAATCCGGAAATTGTACCAATGAGGAGAGTCGTAGAGGTCGCAGATGATCCTATCATTCCACAACGGGAGATCTACGCTCCAATGGTATTTTCCGCCCCTTTCGAAATCCCAGATGAAGAGGTGGAGGTGGAGGAGGGATCTGAACTTATTGAGGAGACGACAACGGAGGCGGCGGAATGCGGTCCTTCCATAACTGACGATTCAGGAGTTTGTGATTGGCTACGAACTCAGCAGGCTGTGAATATTCAACGACTCATTCAGGAATATGGTGATGGCGTTGACGATATGCCGCTAACTGATGTTGATTGTGTTTCAAACAATTCGAACAGCCCTGATTTTGTAAGAATACAGTTTGTGAATGTGGTCACATTTCAAATTGGCAGAAAATGCCATAACAGATACTTGTAGTATTACTATTTAGACTATTTCAATTATTTAACTATTTCACCGGATACTGCAATGGAAGAGAATACCAATAAAAGCAACCGTAACGTCAAAGTTATTGGTCGTGTTTTTGCATGGGGCCAAACCGCGATGATATCAACTGAAAGATATCAAGTATCATATTTCTATAAGCCTTGGCAGCGTTGTACGACCACAGGAATAGTTTGAATCCATCGTTAGAGAATCTATACTAACACGTAGGTATATCCAAATAGCCCTTAGAATATGAAATATTAATCGTGAAGTCATAAATCAACAAGTTGCTATTTATTTGTTATTAGGGAGCTAAAAATAGAAACACTCTTTTACAGCTTTTTTTTGTTCAAAACATTCATGATTCATGCCTGCCTATGTTCTTACAAAATTGTGTGGTAAGTTCTGTGTGATTTCTCCCCTGTGTTAGATCTACCGAAGGAACAAGAACAGCGTCTCCGCGTCCTTCGAGGAGTCGGGTTTGGGAGAAGAGGAGTGGTCGCGAAAGAGTATGGAAGTCCCTCCACTCGATAAGGGAGAACACTCTCCCAGCGATGTTAGTTCACTGGACTTATTTAAATCAGCACTAACCAATTATGACGCTCTGTACTTTCTCATCTTTTATGCTCATTTAGATTTCGGAGGATCATGTGAATTGGGGTCCGTTAATAGAGAGACCAGCGAGTCCTCATCTCTCAGTAATTTCTGAAGCATCTACAGACGAGTCGGTTGGTTTCTCATTCATTCATTCATCTATTCCCTACGTCACAATTTAGTAAACAAAAAAATTAAATAAATAAATAAATATTTATATTTTTAGGCATTTGGAAAACAACACGCAATTGAGTATCCTCAAATGGCATCAGAAGGAATATCAGAAGATGAAGCTATAAAAGTGAGTTAAAATTTTCGATTTTAGATAGAAAAAGGCTTCATTGGTTTTATATTTACCTCAATTTAGGATATATTAAAGTGCATAGGGATTTATTAGGGAGGGGTTTCCAATTGCTTTAGAGTATAAGCGTCTGTGGACACTTCGAAACTGTGGGAACATCATTCGGTGTTTTGAAAATACGGCCATTCTGATTGGCTGTTGACTATTTTGCTTCACCGTGACAGTCTCATGTATAAAATGCATAGGTATTGTTTAACAGATAGCAAATGGATGTTTTTATTTTTATTTGAAATTTTAAACCTCATATGAATTCACCTTTTAGATATCTGGGGAATGTATGGTCATCAAACCGAATGTGTCCCCATACCAACAGTCAAGCAGTGATGAACAAAAGATCGAAACTCTTCCTTCATTGGACGACACTGAATTAACTGATACCTCAACACCGATTGCGAGGAGATTTGAGGACACGGACCATCTTCTTCCACCCTTCTTGGGTCCTGGGTCTCAGGAGAGCGAAGACTCAGATGAGGAGGGTGATAAAACCATCTCTGCTCTTCTCCCACAAGATGACGTCGGGAGTGATGAGAAGGGATCGTTAACATGTCCAAACACCAATGATGTTGAGAATTCTGAAGACGAGCACACTTCTTCTGAAGTACAATCAGATGAAAAACAGCTTATTGTGGAATTAGATGACGATCTAAAAACCTTCCAAGTTGAAATTACGAGCTCCGACATCTCCACGAAAAACTCACAAACGAAAGATAAAGGCAGGAAAAGTTACAAACGTAAATATCAGGAAACACAGGGGGTTGAAGATGGTAGGACTGAAGGCTATCTTTACCTTGAAAGTCACGAACAGCAACCTGAAATGTCTCCATTGACGTTTTCTGTCCACGGACTCGATGACACACCTCCCGGACCTTCTCCTGTGAATATTCCTCTCCAGCGTCCAACTGAGCATAATACCTCTACTGAAAATGTCAGTAATCTCGAGATAGATAATGGCGCATTGGAAGAAAATGTCCTGGTAGATAGCCTTCAGGAAGTTGAGAATTCTTTGGATGAGGTTAATTGCAATGAAATTCGTCGAAACCAATTACTCTTTCCAATGAGTGAGACAATGTCTAATGTCCCTGAGATTACAGAGGAGGAATCGCCCACAGCAATAAAAAATGTGAGCTTTCTAAGAATTCCGATTTAAAATGAACGTAATTATTTAATTCAAATACGTGCTTATCATCATATAACCCATTCTAGAAGAAAAACTAGATTTCATTAGTCCCGCGTTAGGGTTGTTTAAAGTTACATCAAGAAATGAATCGGAAAGAAACTATTCGGATGTATTGGCTGTTGATGGAGTTTGGAATTTGACAAGAGCTTTTCTTGAAGGCTCTCATGCTCCTCTAGTTGACAAAAACGGAGATGACATCCACGTCCATTTTAGTCAGAACTTCGAATTTCTCAAACCACTTTTGGTACTAAGACAGCTTGCATCTAATTATAAATGAGATTATGGCATATTTTAGGTTTAGTGATACTCATTAACTAATTATACTATTTTATAAATTTCTTGATTAAAACATTACGGAAGAGAATTCTTTCATTTGTATCCACAAAACTCATGACCTAACTTTTGTCACCTTTTCATCTGTTTCTAGAATTTTTAATATTATTTTGATAGTCTTATTCTAACAGAAAAATTTCGCCTCATTTATTGACGAATGAGTCGGCTGACCGTGAAAAAAGTAGAGAACAAAAAGGTACTTTATGAAGGTGGTTGGGGGGAGGGGTGTGTAAACTAGCAATCTGCATGATCATCTCATCACTCGTAAGAACAAACAGGTGACTGCATTTATTCGAAAATTGATGCTAGTATAAGGAGATCAGTTTGTGCCAAATAGCTGACCGAATTCCAGTCAGAATTAACCCAAAAGTCAAGTGGGATTTGGAACACTACACTACACTTCACAAATAGAATCTAATGAAATTTAACCTGTTACAGCAGAAAACAGCATTTCCAATGTGCCTTCAATTTCAACATTGCGAATTGCTGCGAACATTTATTTTGTACTTTTGTTATGATTTGATCTTTTCCTTAGGAAAATCGATCAAAGAAATCGAAAAGCCGAAAGGCAAAGAAATCTGCGCCCAAGGAAAATAAAAAGGTTGAAACAAAGAGTGCAGAGTCTGCCGCTTCGAGCGATAATTTGCCGAAGTCCTCTTGCAAAGAGAGCTCTAAAAATGTGGAAGAAGAACTGGAGAAAAACGATCCGGGCGGAGTTCTTTTCAAAGTTCCTGAGGAAATGGCCCAATCTGTGCTGGATGCAAGCAATGGTGGCAATGAACTCAATCTCAATGAAGAACCATTTACAGTGGAAAGTTTGGTAGTCTCAGAACCCGCCGGAGGCGTTATTAAAGAGTGCTTGGCTAAGGAAGAATCCTCCGAACTCTCAATTGAAATAATTCCTGGCGTTGTTGACGCTGATCTTGTTGGGACAGGATCTACAAAGGATTTGGAGTCGCCCTCTGACGAGGCGGATTTTTCTGAACCGTCTGTGATTGAGCTACCACGTCGAATGTCAGAACCCGAGCTCAGAGAAAAGATCATTGAAGAGTGCAATCCCATCGTGGAAGAAGAAGTAGAAGAAGGACTAGAAGATTCAGCAGCCGGTGTTCGAGATGACGAAACAGAATCAGGTCTATTTCCAAAAGATGCCAACTTTGGTTCTCCCTTTTCCTCCAAAGATTGGTCAACCGAGCATCCTTTTGATGGCACTTCAAAGGCTGATGACATTGCACTTATGGGCTCCATTCAACAGGAAGGACATTTCCAAGAACCGGTGATTCCAAATACTGTAATGGTTATATCTGATCAGGGATTGAGTAGAACTGACAATGGGGAAATACCTGAACTATCGTCATTGATGGAACCAAATCCTGGAGTTGGGACCGTGGACGAGAAAAAGCCATCGACATCCAACGATGATGTTTTAAGTACCTCTAATCAGTTGGAACTCGCTTCTTTGGTAATACGTCCGGGTCCCCTCTTTACTCTCAAAAGCAATCTAATTGTCTAACAATGTGGGTGTGGGGGTGATTGGGATTGCGGATGAGATCTTGGACAGAAGTTGAACGGTATAGTTTGGAGATCACAAAAGCGTTAGTTTATTAGAGGTTTGGATCCACGAAAGAAAATTTCAGTTGGGTTTGTAACCGTCACTCTTCCCTCACATAGTATTTGACTATAACGGAGTTGGCTAGAACTCACTCATGACGATTAAACTATTATGAAATCACTTAAATTAAATTAATTTCATATTTTGGAATGTAGGGAATGTTTTTTTACGAATATGCTTTTCCGACGTCAGTAATATTTACCGCCCACTTGAGGAAATTTGTGCGCGCGTTGAATCATGAAACTGGAGTTCAATTTGGTCTAATGGAGGCATGAGGATGGCGAATCATAATTGAATTTTGTTCATTAGGGTCTCTATTTTTGTAATTAGGGCTGTAATATCTTGAGAGTAATAGTCAATTTAACAATATCGGAACAATTTGTTCTTATTTAACGTGTATCTCCACTTGCAGCCTGCCGATGATTGGATCGATCCTCGGTCTAAAAAGACGCGTAAACACCGAAATAAGAAGTACAAAGGTAAAGAGAAAGACTCCCAAGGGGGTGAAGTTCTACCGGAAGTTGTAACAGTTGTATCATCAGAAAAGGAAACAGACGGGTTTGAAGACGTGCTAAAGGCTGGGGAAAAGGCCTTGAGGGGAATCGGACTTCAATCGGCAGGAAATGACGAAGAAATGGTTCTGGGAGTATCTCATGAAAAATTACCGCAGACTGCTCAAGAACCACAACCCACTGTTGGTGGAAACTCAACTCCATGCGACATGCTGTATCGCCAAGCTGAACTCCCTGAAGTCGAGGATCCTGTTGACAAGAATCCATCCATTGTAAGTTAGTATTTAACGGGAAATTTGTCTTCAGACGGAGCATTTCGTGTAGAACTTTGCTTTGGAGGTGGTTGATTATTATCTTGGAATGGGATTTGTTACTTTAGCACGTGTTACTACTAGCTGGAATAGGCTATACATTGGAATCCTTCCGATAGAATACTCAAATCAATATTATGTTATTTCAAATGGCCGACTTTATGACAGTTACCATCAGCACTGACTTAGCTGACTTCGGGCTTCACAGAGGGAGGAGAGACATCAAAGTGACAAAAAGTCGAGAGGGGGGACAGAATAAAGCATCAAAGTGACAAAAAGTCGAGAGGGGGGACAGAATAATGATTTACAGATGTAAAAGAGACAGACAAACAGACATAAAGGCAGAGAAAAGGTAAGGTGAGTACTCTGGAAGTGGTCGAATATGACATACAGTGGGGTGATGGAAGTTTGAATTCAGAAGTCAACTGCCGGTTTATAGACTTTTACCGTATGAATATACGTTGCCCAGGGTGAACCACGTGGAGGTAAGTCTATTGCACGGCCATACTCAAATTAACTTTGCTTGGAAAAACATGAAGAATCGTCAAATCCAGAAGGCCAACCTATTACTGCCAAATATCTTTATTATTTTATGTTAGCCTCTATTAATGTGCCATATTTTCTAGTTAATTATGAGTTTATTTGAATAAACATTGTAGGACACAGCTTATGTGCAACCGTCCAAATCGAAGAAGAAAGGTCGAGAAAATAGGAAATCTAAGAAACAAGACGCCCACAATGGAAAGCGCTCACCTCAAAAAGCTGTTGAAATCCCTCAGCCCGAGGAGAGGCCGTCTTGGAAAGAATCTGGCGAAATTCAGGAGAGTATTTCTACTGAAACCACTCCCAGTGGGTCAAAATTTTCATCTTTCGAAGAGGTAACAGATATTGGATCAATTCTTCCGCTTGGTGGTTCTGCGGATGAAGATGAAAATAAATTGAAGGGAATGACATTGCTCCCGAAAATTTCAGAAAAGATTGAAGTAAGGCACGATATTCCTCCTGAAACTGAAGAGGCTAGTACTCCAACTGAACTGAAGACTAAAATCCTGCAAAACCCTGAAATGAAGTCGCCTAATTTGGATATTGCTGATGCGTCCAAATTGCAGGAGCCAGTAATGGTTGAGAAGGCTTTAATTCCTAACGCCGATTGGACCACGACGGACGATGTATGCTTAGACACTCCTTCGGATTTCTACTGTGAGGTAAGTAACTTTGCACTCACTTGATAACCCAGTCTCTACTATAGCGGAATTTTCTTCCAACCCTTATTTTAACAAATTTTCACATTCGGCGAGCCTTTTGAAGTCCTGTCTTTACCCCTGTGCAAGAAGTCACTTCTAGGTGTTAGACTCTTGTCGAAGCCTGAGGCATATCTGAGATGAATCACCTGTGTGTGTGAGAGAGAGAGAGACACTTTTTCTGTCAGTCATCCGATTCTATTCCACTCAACTCCAATTATGGACTCTGAGTTATTTGTGATCTAAATTAGTGCTAAAATTAGTATTTAAAATGCCAAATTGAATCTAATTAATATAATGCGTCGATTTCGAAATAAAAGATGCATTTATTAAATAGGTAATAATTATTTTTCTCGACCATAAAAAGCATTACAGAATCTGAACTTCAAAATTCGCATTTTTAGAAAAATAGCTTGATTTCCAGCAGACGTTTTCTAAGCAACACCTCTTGAAATGAAATCGAATGAATGTGACCAGGAGAATTCATTTGAAATTATCAAATAATGGTCTATTTTTAAGGAGGAAATAAATCCAACTTCTGTGAGCAAAGCTTTCTCGTTTCTGCTGTGAAATTTCGATGGTCGATTTAAGCCTCCGCATAAAAAGATTTGAGGTAGAAGACATAAGAGTGACAAGTGTGTATAGATGTAATTCGAAAATAAAGATATTGGCCTTTTAAGAGAGCCGTCAATCGAAATTCGCTGGCTTTTAGTCAACTCATGAACCCAGTTGAATTAAACAGCCGTCTTCTCTGTACTTCTCCGAAAAGACGGACGACACATCATAAACATCGGTAGAGAATATGAGTCTTAAAGTTTAATTTTTAAAAAGGTAAACTACAAATCCAATTTGTTTTTTGAATATTACCAAACGTCTCCTCATTTTAGCAAAATTATGAGCGGAGTGATTCAACATTTGAGAATATCGACAGACAAGGGGAAATCGAAGATATCACAGCTGATAAAACTCAATCAACTGAGGTCGATAATCAAGATAGTGGATCTTCCACAACCACGAATTCGGTGGAACAGGATGAATATCCTTCTGAAATTAAGTCGGCTGACGAGAGCGGTTACGTCGCTGCGCCACGAGAGGAGCAAACGTGTAATCAGTCGCAAGTCGACATACATGAACCGTTACTAGAATTGAAACCAGACGAAACAATTCCGCAAGGATCGGAATCTCCGCATTCCGGAGGTAAACTCGTTACGGAATTCAAAGACTTGGGTAAGGAATACGCTGGACTTCAAGAGGTTTCACCCTCTTCCGCTTCTATGGGTAAGAATGAAGATGTGCCACTGGGTTCAAGAAACTTCTCGAATCTGAACGATCCTCAAGAGGCAAATCAGAATGTAAGTAATTAATTATGCGAAATAATTTTAAACCACGTTTGACGTGGAACTAATAGTGAATTCATGTTATTAGGAATCTGGAGAACAGATTGATGGAAAATCGAAGAAACCCCTTGAGCGTGAACAAAAGAAATTAAGGGATAGTGAAGAGAGTACTGCTCAATCAACTTATGTCGAAACCGAGGTGGAACACCGGTTGCAGGAACATCCCTCTGAGTCAGAGCTTGAAGGAAACCAAAACATTTCTTCTGAACTTGCTCCGCAAGCATGTTTGATAGCTAAAACAGAGGCCAAGGAAGATGCGAGTAGTCGCCGGCCTGTTAATGAAAATATTGTCCCCATTGTTGACAGGTCAAAGAGGAAACCTCCGATATTAAATTTGGAGGAGCCTGCGGATTCTTTGTCCCATCCATATGAAAATGTACAATCTCTAAATTTGACCCCTTTTGGGGACAGAGAGAACTTTCTCTCCGGTATCAAAGGTGGCACTAATTATGAATTGCCTACCAGAAAGAGTGAATCTCAAGACTTACCTTCGGAATCCATAGCGGATGAACACCCAGGCAAACTGGAAAATACTCCTCATAAGGTGGAAGAAATCAAGGTATATGAAATGGCTCCGCACGAACCTGAATCGACTTCCATGGGAGGTTATCAAGAAGAAATTTTGACCGAAAGTGGTGACAGCCATGAAGCCGCTGACTTGAAGCTTCCGGACAGATGTGACTCCCCAATTCAATGGAAGACAAAGGATGAACGCACAATATCCGATTTAGGAGCAGATTTGGGATTGGAGAATCCCCTTGCAGATAAATCGGATGGAATTACCGACGCGGGTCATTTGAAAGATCAATCGGAAGCGGTTTCTGTAAACCGAAGTAAGGCCTCACAACGTAGTAAACACAACCGAAAATCCAAGCATAAGAAAGGAGAAAGTTACAAGGAAAAACTTGCCATTGCTCCAAAAGTCTTACCACATGAATACCAATTAGAGCCCTACAGACCTCTTGAGTCCTCCACAGAAGAGCGCCTACCTTCATTTAAATCTCCCAAAGCCGGTGATAAATCCAAAGACCACAAATTTGGTGGAACTTCTGCTCAAGAAACACCCAATTCCTCAGATATATCTAATCGACTTGATGAGTCAAATCGTCCAGATGCAGAGTCGGTCACTTCCGAGATGGAGGAATTCTTTCCACTTAAAGACTGCCAAGAAGCGGATAAATCAGAGAATTGTGGCAAAGAACCTAAGCATTTGAAGGAATTGGATCGGGAGGAATCCCAAAATCAGGATGAAATTCCTCCAATCTCGCCTTCTGCCGACGAATGCCAATTAATTAAAGAATCTGAGGTTCCACAAGATGAGTCATCAAGCGAGAAAGACGTCAAAACTACTACCAAACCGTCACCAGATGGGATTGGAGAAACTCCATTACCAAAGTCGAGTAAACGGCGTGGGCGTAATGGAAGGACATCGCCTCTGTCGAAGATTCTTCACAAATCCCCTGTAAGCCATTTAATTTTGTTACTGAACATATCCGGAATGTAAACCAATTTCGAATTTTTCACATGAACGTGCGAGTTAAGCTTTTGTGTGTGTGTGCGCGCGCGCACGTCTTTATATTCTACGTTTCTGACTAAATTCCGAAGTGAGCTGATAACAAATCCAGTTTCGTGTGTACTCACTGGTTTGACCTTCAAATAAAGTGACACACAGTACGTTATTGTATAGTGTCGCAAAAGGAGCTTACAGTGACTGCTACTCAAATGAACCCTAACTTACTTAGGATCGTTTCCAAGATCTCTAAAAAGGAAAGAGACCGATTTTTTCCATACGACGGCTAACTACCTGGATGTTCAAATATTAATTACGATCGATGTTATTCTACATTCCATTGATTTGCTTGCTGATTAGGCGTGAAGTTTCTGGGCCCGCGGTCGCTTATTCCAGAATGTTCTATGGCGATTGAGATTCCTTTCTTTCAAAAGCTTTTGCGTTATGAACTATAAATAAATTTCGATTGTTCTTCTAGGGACATGTTTGATGGTACCTCGATTGATTTGATAGACCTTTTCCAGATTAGTCGATTTACTATTTAAAATATCGAAAGTAAGGAGGTGTATAATAATGATCTCGAGTTTGAAATGGCTAGATTTGCATTTAGTGTCTCTTCCATGAAGGCGTTTGCTTGCTTGCTAATAAAACCTAGCTTTAAAGATGACTTCGTGGATTGCATACAAATTTTGCTTGCACATTCTCAGTCCCCCCATGTTTCGCAAGTCCGAATTCGTGATTTTCTTCCGCTGAGAGCCACATTGCATTTTCGCATTGGATGAATTCGTAACTTCTTCCATCCACTAGATACATCAGGAAGTGCGTATTGAGAGCACTAATGAGTTTCTGTTTGTCGGATCCCATTTCCTACGGTCAAGCCAAATTGGACGCTTCTGTGTCGAATCAAGTTGAAATGAGAACACAACAGTGAGTGATTAACCCCACTGGCAATAAAAGATGTGTCTATAGGAGTGACGTTAATCGTAGTTATTTCATATTGAAAACATTGAAGCATCTTTAAATAGTGTAGATGTTTCAAATCCTTCTTAAAAGCATCAATCCGTGGTGCAAGTGCCTTTCACATTTTTCATACTTAATTATGAGTCGCGTCTAGACATAGTCCACCATTCAAGGTGGCTTTATTAAAGGTAGGAGTCATTGGCTATTTCGAACATTTTTGGTGGTTTTTATGTTTTTATCTAAAGAAATTGCTTCGATTAATTCCATACGGATTTCAACATCCAATTTTCTCAAGCCAAATCCTTTTATTACAACATGCACACTAAGTCCGAACCTTAATTCCCTATCCTTTGCGAACGTGGTCTAATTCATACCTTGCAGAGTCGTGACGATAAAGATATGACCTTCAACTTTCAAAAAGTTCCACAGGTGGTGTGACTACTTATTGCATGTCATATTTTCAAGTCTAGCAGATCAGCAATTCTTGAAATTCAGCTGGCAATTTTTTTTGCAAGCTCATTAGAAATTACACTTCTGATTCCTAAATGAAGTTCTCCGCAAGCAAGTTCACACCCCGTCAATCCTTGTCTGCGGATGGTCACCGACAGTGAGTGACACGGACCCATCATCCCTAATTGAGATTGAGATGTTCTGCTCAGAGTTCCTATTCTTATCAGGAAAAAGAAAGTTATCATTAGTGCTGTCATAATCATTCTCAATGGCGATTTTATTTAAACAATTTTGTTATTAGTCACTTACAATTCCCTTCAGTCGACTCTGGTCTTGCGAGAGTATCACTTTGCAATTTCTCTTGGTGTCATTCGACATGATGTGGGGCTGGTGGGGCGGTGGGGGTGGGGGGAGAGACAGGGGTTCTTTCGATGTAGAAATCGACTGAAATCGCACTCTTTGCCTTTTTCCTCTCCCAAAGAGCGGAATTGATCTTGAATTAATATCTCTACGTGGAAGTGACCTGATCTAAGTCACCTCTGATCGGGCTGTCTATTGAGATAGCATTGGCATATGGCAACCAGATGGCGCCATCACTGCGAAAGTTAAAACTGTATTTCTATTGGTTACTTCGGTCACCTGTGCTTACCTCAATGACCTCGCTTGCAAGTCATAAAGGGAAGAAAGGAGGTTTGGAGATTTAATTTAGCCATTGACTTCTGCTTTTTATTGCCTGACCCGGTTACTTCCGTCATTTCTTCCAGTGGTGCCTAAGGCATGTCTCTTGTCGTAAAATGAGTACATTTACACAGTGAAATTTATTTATTGTTTACGAAATTCTCGCCTTAGTGTAGAAGATTAAAATGACATCGCATTTGCAAAGTATTTTTTTTTCGTTTTTTTTTCTCTCAAAATTCTCTTCAGTTTGGTGGTGTCAGTTGTAAGACAAGACATGAAAATGATTCTTTAATAAATATTTGAGAAGTTTTTTTCTAGAATTTCGTTGTTTTCACCGCGTACAAGTGTTCATTCTCCTTGTATTTTCGATGAAAAATACAAATCTTAGTCTGTGTGGGGAAAAGTAAGATTTTTGGGATTCTTCTATCACCAGTCTTCCAATGATTCCAGTAGCTATCACAAGTGAAATTTCGATTCCATCCAATTTCCTTCCAAATTCATTTTCTTGCCTTACCGATCAGAAGTTAGAACCAAGTTTAGGGCTGTTGTAGACTGCCTAGAAAATCACCAGTATCTTGGCACCAATAATTGTTAATTTGTAACTCGTTTAAACTTGTTACTGTGGGTGCAACTCTCATCTGTGAAAACTGTTCAGAGGTCATAAAATGAAGTCAGCGGTGTTCATATAGCAAAAAAACATAAGGAGTCTGCCACTAGGTGGTTGCAGAATTGATTATCAACAATGGTGCTTACAGAGTGTCCAATGAGGCATTCAACCCCCTCCCCCCCCCCCCCCCCCCCCCAAGTGAGGCCGATTTCTTGTTGGATATCATCAATTCCAACTCCCATCAAACAAATCCGCCATTTCATCGTTATTTAATTAAGTGAAATTCAACTTTTAACGCAGGGATCGATTTCCAAGAATTATCAGGCGATCACTTTCTACTTTCTCAACACTTCTCATTCCCAGATCATCATCTGTTGGCAGTGTCATAGACTCTCCGGTTTAGTGTTAATTTTACTAACTACGATTGAAGGTCTTTGTTTCGAATATTCCAAATGTTGTATTCTAATTTTTTAAATTGTGGAATATTAATTGCTACGTAATTTTCTAGACTACAAATATATTTTATTTATTTATTTCAAATGGCAGGCATTTTGATAGTTATCATTAGCCCTTTAGTTGACTTCGGGCTTCACAGAAGGGAGGAACATTAAAGTGAGAAAAATTCGACAGGGGGAAAGAAGAGCGATTCACAGATGTAACAGACAGACAGACAGACACAAAGGCAGAGAAAAGGCTAGATGAGTACTATGAAAGGGGTCGAATATGACATACAGTGGGGTTATGAAAGTTTGAAGTCAGAGGTCAACTGCCAGTTAATAGACTTTTTTGCCGTATGAGTATACGTTGCCCAGGGTGCACCACGTGGAGGTAAGTCTATCGCACATCCCTAGACTACAAATATAAACTACCCTTCACGTGGTGCACCCTGGGCAACGTATACTCATACGGCAAA